ATAGAATAGAATAAGGAATAGAATAATATAGAAGAGAAGAGAATAAGGGATAGGATAGAATAGAATAAGGGATAGAATAGAATAAAATAAGAGATAATAGAATAGAATAAAATAAGGGAATAGAATAGAATGGAATAAGGTATAGAATAGAATAAAATAAGAGAATAGAATAGAATAGAATAGAATAGAATAGAATAGAATAAAATAGAATAGAATAGAATAGAACAGGGGATAGGAGAGAAGAGAATGGAAGAAAATATAGAATGGAGGATGGAGAACAGAATAGATGAGAATAGAATAGAATAAAGGAGAGAAGAGAATAAAGGAGAGAAGAGAAGAGAAGAGAATATCCTTAACAGGAATAGCATAAGATAGCTTTTGCACCTTCAATGAGTAGAAGAACATCTGAAGAACTTGAGGAAGATGATTGTTCTTAGAAGAACATCGTGGCCAAAAAGGCTGCTTGGTCTTGGGAAACTTGAGCTTGATGGGTTTTCTCAGCTTCATTCCGTCACATTTTTCTGGGAGGATAATTCAAGAGTTGTGGTGAGGATGATGAAGGCGGCAGGGGTTGTGTATTGTAGGAAAGAACCCTACCTGGAGGCTTCGTGTGGTTGGCATTCCATTCTTTCTCCAGCAACCCCCACTCCGCTTGGGTGCCTAGTCTTTTGAATCCCCTTCCACTCTTCTATAGGGGGCAGAGTGGGGGTCTCTCCCAAGGGCTGTAATTTTCCCATGCTGGGGAGAGGGAGGGAAAGGTTTTGGCAAAGCTGCCAAAGACATTAAAACACACATTATGCATTTCCCCCTCCGCACGCCACTCAGGAAATTCCGGCTACAAATAATCGGCTCCTCCCAGGGCATAAAACAAACTGTTATTTAGGAAAGAGGAATCAAGCTGCTAGGAGTTATATCCTTTACTAATTACAGGGCCCTGCGTATGTACACGGCTTTTAGCCAGTAGTAGCTTTCGCTGCTATTCACTCGGAGCTCTCGCTGCACACTGGAGATATATATATATTTTCCCCCCTTTGCGAGAGAGGAGGGGGCCCAACAGTGGCTGGAGAATATTGTTTGCACCGTTGCAAGGGAGTAAATGGAACTGAAAACTTCTGTTGGCTTGGTTTCTAAAATATATATCTTTGAATTGAATAGAATAGAAAAACAGAATAGAATAGAATAGAATAGAACAATAGA